GTAAAACACTGCTTGCTATTTCAGTTAATCATTGTAAAGATATCACCCAGCAATACATTTGGACTTTTTTCTCATGGACCAGCATGGCTACAATCGCTTTTCGGAAACATGAGATACTTTGAAACTGTAGTGCAGGGTCTGGCACTTCTGAATATGACAGAGCTGCAAAAGCCCACATTCCCTGCCTGCCAGCCAGCTAGCTAGAATGGTAAATAAGGGTGTGTTATTTTGATAAGGATATATTGATATATAACTCTATTAACCCACAAAGCTTTATTAGTGTTTATAAGGAAGTAATCATCTCTGATTTTATTTTCTCTCACAAGGATTAGTTTGTCGATAGCATAGTTTAATCTTTAAGCAAGGGCTGAATACCAGAATAAGGCAGAAGCAGGTACATTTAGGTATTATAGGGACTGTTCGTGTGCAAATGTAAAAACTGTGGCTGCTGTGAATAATAGTTCCAAGAGTGAATGTCCACTAGAATATAACTATTAGTCAAAGTGTCTATGTGTACAAGCAACTTTTAGATTACTGTTCTGAAAACTCTTCCTTTCCTCCCTTCCCACTAAAATGGGTCTCTAATTAAAAACTTACCAATCTGTATTTGTTAATAATATGATTCTTTCATTTCATGACTTGACAGGAAGCACCTGCGGGACACTTGATCAGATTATCCCATCCAAAGTGATTCCGTTTGAACTTCCCTCTCTGGAAGCTGTTCAGTCCTCCCCACCAACCCTGCCCCACCAATAGAAATATATTTTTTTTATGGAATCTTCCTTTGCTGACAAAGGAAGTAAGACCATGCCATGCCAAGACCTTTGCAAACCAGGTTCATAAACTATTCTTCAGAATACAGATTCATGTAATTCATTTTAATTTAGGTCTTTTGTCTAGCCTGGATTTGGTCTTACCAGCAGACTGCTGGCCTACAGATTACCTGATTATAAAAGAGATTAAAGGAAACTCTGGTGAAAAGGAGCTAAAACATATGCCTGAGCAATCAGGGGTTTAGAGTAAGCATTATTAATAATCATAGTGTATGTTGGCATCTCCTTTTAAAAAAAAAGTTATAACAAAATATGTCTTTAACCTATCCTGCCTTGAAGGATTGGGAGACAAGCACACATATTTATCTACTAGGTTTTAAGTGTACCTTTAACAAGGAAATTTGGCAACAATGGGGGCCTCCACAGCACTGTTTGTCTTACCTCTTTTATCTTACAATGCGTTGTGTGCCAATGTGCAAGTAATCTTGTTACTGCTTTCCTCCCTGCCAGGCTTGGGTGGATGAGGAAAGGAGCAGAAAAAAGGACCATCTTGGTGGCCTAAAGAAAGCACAACAATAAATACTCTAATCAGCCCATTCTTTGCTACTAATTTCCCTCCTACATTTCTTCTTGTAACGGCAAGTGGAAACACCACTGATAAGTGTTGGCAGCAGAAAAGCTCCCCGTCCAGCTGCTTGTGCAGAACAAGGGTCAGTGGCATGTTGTTATGGAGTTTGGTCATCTGGCAGAAAGGTGCTTCTGCTGGTGGAAATGGCTCCACACCACAGTCCCGGAGGAAGTGCTGCAAAAATGTCTTTGCAATGTTTGCTGTGGATCAGGACTTGAGCTGATAGTTAATCAGCTCAGTTTTTAATCCCCACACAAGCCCTACAATGGTGGTAAGAATGCAGGATGAGAGTGAAGGGATTTACATGTTTGCTAACTCATCTTGTATCATACTGATATAATCTTATTGTACTGATGTAATCATCGGGAAGTTTTCAACTGCCTGTTCAAACTTCTTTTTATTTATTTTCATGTATGTATGTATGTCACATTTATATAGCTGCCCATCTCACACAAAGTGACTGTGGGCAGCATACAACAATTAAATAAAATAACAAGTGGATAAAAACAAGCATTATAAAAAGATAAAAAGTGATTATTAAAATAAAAACATTATTAAAAGTTTTTTAAAAATTAGAATTTAAAATATTCTAATTTTCCAAACCCCATGGAGAGAGCAGAATATCCATTACAGTGGAGCCATCTAAGAATGTCTCCAGTTCCCAAAGACCTCCAGGCCTGATGACGCAGCCAGGTCCTGAGGGACTTCCTAAATGACAGCAGGGAAGGGGTGAGCCTAACTTCAGTGGGGAGAACGTTCCACAAGGAGGGAGTCACAGCAGAGAAGGCCCGCCTCCTGGGGCCCACCAAATGCAAGTCCCTGGCCGATGAAATGCATAGCTTACCTTCTTTGGCAGATCTATTGGGACAAGCTGATGTGATTGGGGAGAAGTGATCCCTCAGATAACCCGGCCCCATGCCATGAAGGGCTTTAAAATTCAAAAACTGTCAGGCCTAGCCCAAAGAACTCCTGGAGACCATGCAGGTTCAATCAGCAAGGTT